CTTCCTGTTTATCACTAATTCCCTTTTGTTGATATTTAAATGGATTCCTCTTCAATGTAATGGATAATAACCTGACACCTCTTATTAGTTAAAAAAAATAGATCCCTAAAAATGCAATTGTTGCTTAATAGGGAACACACAGTGCTAAAGTTCTTGCTTACTAATACCAAGCAATTAAGCTCAGTATTAATTATTATTATTATTATTATTTTGTACCAGGCATTAAACTCATGACCTCACGCTTGCCAGGCAGGCACTTATACCACTGAGCTAAATTTCCAGCTAAGCTTACTATTAATTCTGAGCTATTTTTTTCAGAAAGATTATGCCAATAACCACAGCCATCAGCAAAATATGTAGACATCTCACATTATACATGATCACATTCAGGATTGTCATTTAAAAATGCCAATTTTATAAATAAAAATATATTATGTCTATTGTTTGGATGAGGGCCTAACATATAGGAAATGCTCACTAAATATTTGTTGGTTGCATGAATGATGCCAAAGGATTGGACTGGACTGGGGGTGCTGATCGTTGCCTTCCCCAGGTCTAATGAGAAAAATGCGTCATAGCCAAGGCCTCTGGCACCTCATCTCCTTAGCCTTTTCCTCCGGTCCCTGCCACAGCTTCTGAAACTTGGCCAAAGATGATAAACCAATCAGATTCTTTTCCTTAAGACCGAGCAAAGAGACACAGAAATGGAATGTGTAGGTATTGGAATGACCTTCTTGGAAGTTACAGAGAGTGGCTACAAACCACAGCAGCTGAGGTCCCTCCCGTCACCTTGGCTCCTGTACTCCTCTGGGCTGGGTGCTCACTCTGCCTTGCAGTATTTGAGGGCTGACTCCTTTCAAGCAGCTCTCTTTTACCTAGGTGGATGTGTAGTCAGGTTCTGTTCTTGGGACACAGATGCTTGGTAGAGATGTTCCTTCTGTCATCTTCTCAGATAACAGTCCCAGCTTGCAAGAGAGACCAGTCAGATGGAAAACCAGCACAGCACAAACTGAGCAAGATGCAATTTAACAAGGAGAATAAACATACACAGTTTGGAACTTAGATTAAAAATAAGAAGCGTGAATATGGAACGAGTGCTGTTTTCTTCAAAAAAAAAATCTATCATGGTAAATGTCAGTTTGGTCTGCATTTATGATTTACCCTTAAGATGTCAAAATCATCAACACTGTCTGCCTGATTTCTGATGGCAGAGCTCATAATTAATTCTCTTGTATATCTCCAGAATTTTCAGAGTCAAGCACCATACTAGTCTGAGGCAGTTCTTAATAAGAGAGTGTGAAATAAACACTGAAAATTAAAACATGAGAGAGTAACAAAGCTCCTACAGGCTTAGAGTTTTCAAAATTCACAAGTTTTGCCTTGCTTTTTTCAAAAATAGCAGATACTCCCTTCACTGAGCTATACTTAATCCAAGTCTTTGATCCACCTCATCCTGCACTCTTCATTTCTTTGTTAAAATATCCAGATCAATGCCTTTAGCATGCAAAAGTTCAGTTAGTTAGGTACTCTAGTTTACTAGGCTATTTTTGTTCTTACCAGTTAGGTTGAATATTTACTAAGAGATCATCTGTGTTTGTTCGCAAACCTGTTTATGTCAGCTGTATTCAGTCTTGTAGTTATGTAATCTAATTACTTATTACGTAAATTAATGAAATATCTGTGCATAAGGAAAGAGCTTCTGTTTCTATCAGTTGAGTGTTTTTGTAAGACTTGATGAACACATTAAAAGAAATACTGTCAAATTAGGGTGGACAAGACAACTATAAATGACTATGGTTGTGTGGGGGGAAACATACAGGTCTGAGATATTTATATAACTTACTCTGTGAGTATTTAAATTCTTACAAAGAACTTCAATCTAGAAATTACAGAGGACCCAATAGGGCTATCACTCATACAAGTAAAATTATGCAGAATTAAGATTTATGTATCTATTAATAACTTAAATAGGAACGTCATACTGTAGTACCTGCCCTTCTATGTAATGCACTCTGAATATTAATCTCTATCCCAAGCAATTCAATTTTTTAAATGTTGGTCATGTCCCACTAATGTGATCTGGTAACTCAGCTTAAAAATTGACCTAATCTAATTCCTTCATTCTGTTAATGAGGAACTGAGATTCAGGAAGATTTAAGGGCTCTATTAAGATCTCTCAGCCAGTGAGTCAGAATTAGAACCCTCCTTTCCACAACCTGTGTTTGCCTACTGTTCTACCCTGAACAGTCCTTGCTTAAAAAGCAACTGACCCAGCACAATTTCCTCTGCAAAAAGTACAAGATGGAACGAGGAAGTAGATGACAAGGATACACCTGCAGAGGCAAGGAAGAATCTCTCCCTCCTGTCCTTATGCTCCTCCACGCAGGTTGAAGGCAAGTATACACAGGTGTATGTGGTTTGCCCCAAACTAAGACATTCCAAGTCTCTTGTGATAGAGACACATATTTGGAGCAGGTGAACCACGTACCTGGGTTGAACACGTGAGATTTCTAATTTTAGAATGACTGCAGTTCCGCATGGGAAAGCTCTAGACAATAACACAGAGAAGGAGTTCTGCAAAGCCTTTGTTAAGATGAGACGAGCAAGAAGCAGAGCCCTTGCTTTCTGGCTGACCCATGTTCTACATGCTTCACAGATAAGTCAAAGCCTCAAGGACTTTCCTGTAGTCGGATCTGCCCTCTGTCTGGCATCCCAGCCCAAACTTACCGTCTCGACATATTTAAGCCCAGGGTTCTCACTGAGATCTGCCTCCCATCTCCTCAAACAAGCTAGCAATGGTAACACTTCAAGAATAGTCCAACTGATTTTTCCTTGTTCTTTCATCACTCTGAAAAGTCTCCCAAAACTAAGTTAAGCAAGCCCTCAAAACACCCCGATTCTAGGTGGACATAATTAGACCCAGGCAAGAAGAAGGGGGAGAAGTTCAGAGGTCCAAAGAGTTACTCCAAGTCTACAGATCATGCCAGACAGACAGTAGAGGAAGGCCTAAGTCCTGGCTCCCAAGCACCTGACCAAGGACTTCACCACACCCTTGTGGTCATTAGAGTGAGTCTCACGAAAATATGAGAACCAGATGGGCAGCCTGGGAACTGTGCAACATTTCTGAGAGTTAAGCAAGCAGCCACCCAACCACTTAGCTAGGGTGCATTCTGTCCCTTTTAAGGTGCATTAAAAAGTCCCTTCTGAAAAGCTAGGTCATAACTCCTTCCTACGGAGGGTGTAACAGACTTTCTAAACTGTGGATGCTGCCATCCTCCACATGCCTCCAGCTAATGTTTCTGTTTTATAAACTGACAACCAAGAGATAAAAAATTCTATTCCAAGCGCCAGCAATTATCTTCTAAATCACTCACTAAGTAGTTATGACACTTACAGGTTCTCATGCTATCTGTCCATCTGTGAGATGGGCTCCTGGAGAGCGAGGAAGAGAAGGCCCATTTCTTTGTGTAATTCAACACCTAAGTGTTAGAACCTAAATATGAAACAGCATCTAGTTCCAAAAGAACAGCTGGGTGTGGTGGTGTATGCCCGTAATCCCGGCACTCAGGAGGCTGAGGCAGGAGGATCGTGGAGAGTTCAAGACCAGCCTGGGCTATAAAGTGAGCTCAAGGCCAGCCTGAACCACATAGTGAGACCCTGTCTCAAGAAGACAAAAATAAATAAGTAAATAAACACAACCTTTAAAAAAGGGAGAGAGAGAATAAAATGGAGTCATTACGTGGTATCCCTGTGGGTCTGGTTTTAGGATCCTCTCCCTTTTATATCCAGCCTCAACAAAACATGGCAACGGAGGAAGAGAGATGGTTTCTTCTGGGTCATTATGGATCACCAAGTGGTGTGGCCACCTTTCAGGCTCAAATGCATCAAGGGAGGATCTTGGGGCTGGAGCAGCAGTTGTAACCAGCAGGGTGGAAGTGATCCTACTTTTCAGGAAGTGTGGACTTAACAGCAGGAAAGGCAGGGAAGAGTGAGGAGCAGAGTATCAGGCAAACTGTGCAGCTGGTGAGAGAATGTATGAACACATGGAAGCCTTCCCCTTTCCACAGGGACTTCCCTGAAATTGCGAGGGACAAATAGCAGTAGCAGATGGGAACAGAAGCCAGCAAAACACACTTCATAACAATAAGCGAGTAGCAAGTGGCTACTCACACATGGAGGATAAATCCACACGGTCCACCTAGAAAGCTATTGGACAGTGTGTGCAAGGGTCATACATGCATTTATTCTTACTCTTGGGTGTATATGTATATACATATATATCTTCCGAGGAAGAATCTAAAAAAGGAAAAGCTTCCAGGCAGGAAGAGGCACCATAAATATCCCTTGGAGAATGCTTATTTAAATCCCACATGCCCATTTTAACAGAACACTGTGACAGTTTTAAAGCACTGATTTCAGGACTTTCCAGCAACATAGAAAAATGCACAACCTCGAATTTAAAACAGTTTCTTCTCCAGGACTAATCATATTACAACATTAATGCACATGAATGAAGGCAACAGACTAGCGATTACTCCCCTGCAGTACTATGATGCTGAGGGGCTCGACTCCTACACTTCCCTGCTCTCCGCACTATTGCTCTAGGAATTTTTAAATGGAAAAGGAAACTATTAGCACAAATATCAAGACATGAACCAGAACATCACTAAGCAGAGATCACCAGGCAGAGGCAGAGAATGGGATTCAGAAATCTGATTATTCTGTGAGTAGAAACAGCGTGGATGGTTCTGAGCTCTTGGGTCCTGCAAGGCCCGTTCTGCAGCACACCTGTCCATGCTAGTTGGGTGGGAAGCTGCTCCCAGCCCTACAGTTAAGACCTCTCTGTGAGCATCCATCCGCCTGTGAACAGAGAGTGGAGAGGAGTGTGCTCCTTCTCAGGGACAGGCAGGTGCATGTGGGCAGGAGGGAGCTCAGGCCCCACAGTAGCCAGGATCCAAACACCACTCCCCATGCACAGCCCCAGGAGAGGTTGTACTCACCGCTGAGAGGGGATGTGCTGTTTTCCAGGGCTTGGCACACAGCCAACACGATACCTGTGCGGGGAAGCAGAGAGAAAAGGTAAGTATCCGCTCAGCAAAAGGCATCCTCAGAGGATTGGAGGGCAAGCCCGCTGAAAGGCAAAGACCTGGCAGTTTTACAAAGTGGCCGAAAGACAGGCCTGGTAAACTCGTTTGTGGGGCTCGGAGCAAAATAAAAACATGGGACTCCTTGTTTGCAGGAAAAAAATGTTCATGGAAGGCACTAAAATATCAGTGTTTTCCTTTCTGCCAGTTTCTCGCCACCTGACATAGTGCTTTATGGTTCTGAAAATCTGTTTTGATAGTGGGAAAACATTCATAACATATTTAGCACTTGAACCACTTTTCAGTGCTCACCGTAGTGACATAAAGTTCATTCACACCGTGGTGCACGTCAAGGTGATTTTGTTTGCTGAGTGTCATTGCTTCCCCTACAGGAGAACAGGGTGAGTGCAGTCCCTTAGGGGCACTTGGGCCCCAGTGACAAAGCGAGCAAGGGACCATTAGCTGCTGGGTTTTTTACTCCGACAACAGTGGTCTGATGCACCGTGACCCAGCTAGGGCTGGGGAAGTCCACTCAGGTGTCTCTTCTTTCTGGGGACTGGCTGTCCCAAGGCAAGGTGGATGGGTGCCCTCCAAGAAGACTGTACTCTCCATGCCAGGGTGTAGTACATATCTGGATCAGGGGAAGTAGGAAGGCCTGGCCCTTGCTAATTGTCCACTGACATGGCGTGGAGCTGTCTGCCAGCTGTCACCATTTTTAATCTGAGATGCCACGGGGTACATGTACTTAGTCTCAACATTTTTAGTGTCCAGGCTCCACCTGAGGTAAAGTGCAGCACGATGACAGGGCAGGTGGGAGATGTGGTAGGCAGCATCCTGGGAACGAAGGCTCCAAGCCTCCAGTGCATATTCTATTGTCCTACTGGACTTATAAGACACAGATCCTGAGATAAAACCATAAGAATTTCAAGACTGCAACCTCAGAGCACTAAATCTCAAGTTCAGGGCCATTGTTAGTGTAACCTCCGAGCTTCTGCATGACCCTTAAAACCACTCTGGCCAACAGATGACCTTATATGCCCTCATAGTAGAGTAGCAGAGGTTTTTGGAACCAGAGCAGCAAAATTTCAGAAGGAAACTTTCCTGAGTTCTGCAATCAGCACAAATTAACTTCTCAAAAGTGAAATGCAGGGAAATAGCTCAGTAGCCATGCAGTGGGGCTGGGCCTCAGGCAGGTTAGTCCCAAAGGCAGTTGTATTAAGTCACATCGAAAACAGAAGTCCTGTCTGCTACTTCTCATTGTGTGGGACCCATACATCCCCTGCCAGGGAGGCTACAGAGCTGCTGGCCTCTTTTCACTTGGACTGGGACCCAGGGGTCTTAATTCTCACAGGCAAACATATGGAACAGATAAAGCTTTGCTTCTGTTCTTTGACATGCGAAACATTATAAGGACTTCTGCCTCCTTTTACTGGGGCCTGACACAGATTCCCTGATACTCCTACAGAGTCCTGCACAAGATATCTGGGTTGCAGGTGGGCTCAGGGTAGGGAGATTGGCAGATGTACGTAAAATCACATATATCTTTTCTGTGCCATTTGTGGCCCCACAGATGCTAATTTTGGGAGCAAGCCTCTTAAGATTGCCCGGGCATATTTCAAAGGGTAAGTCTGTAATGCACACACTAAGTGTTCAAGTGAGACATTCCTGCTGTGGCCAGGAAAAGTCTCAGTGGTCACACAGTTGAAGCTGGGGAGTAGTCACACTCTGACTTTGCTGGCACTGCCACAAACCATTGGCTCAAGTCAGCCAGGGACCTGTAATCATGTCAATGGATGATATGGGAGATGCTCTGCATACCTCTAAGGGGGAGCATGACTGGCCTGTTATGCACTGTGCCTGAACTAATGAATGATCTTCACGCCTCCTTCCTGCCCCACACCCCATCAGTCGAGGTAAACACATCACAATTCCTGGGCCCTGTGACAGCCTCTGGAGCACAGACAGTGCAGGAAGACACGGGCATGTGCTGAGACCCTTTCCCCAGCCTTGTGCAAACTGCTTTGTCTCTTCTGTTCCTTGTTGTAAGCTACAGCTGCCAAGCTCACAGAGGTGTTCCCGGAATTAAAGTCTGCAAAATCATTGTGTTCCACAGATGAAAGACGCTATATTTTTATTCACAATTTGAGTAGTGCAAAAGAATAATTCCTTTCCATACCCTTACATTCCCATGGAAAACAGCTTGTTAACACACCGGTCTCACTCTGCAATTCTGATTTGTAAACAACTTCAGCTCAGGGGTCCCTGTGATGGGAGGTGAGGCCTCTGCTTTCTCTTTACCACACAGTTCTCCCTACAGGGGCCCTGGACCAGGAAGATGGGGCTGGAAAGGGCTGGGAAGTCTTCTCTATTCTCAAATAGGGGTACACTAATTGGTTACACGGAAGTTCAGACCTAGCACGAGGGTTTTACATGTTATTTTAATTTCTTCTCATGTCAACACAGGCACCTCCCTGCCTCCCTGTTTGGCTGGTGGGAATACTCAATTATGCAGATTGGGAAACAGATTCAGAGACTAAGAAATCTGTCCATTGTCCTGCAGGCAAACTCAGACTCAAGCTTGTACAAAGGCTGTGCCTAAAAGAGTGCTTCCGTGTTTAATCCCACACCACAGCCCATCAGGAAGCAGTGGCGGTTAGGATCCCACAAAGGAACTTCAGTAACAGACTCAGCAGACCCAGAGGTTGAGGTTGAACCTTCTCTTCCACGGGCCACAACCATTAGCTTTTGGGGTTTTCCCACTGCCTCCAACGTCCTCTATGAGCGAGAACTCCTACGGGGCTGCCCATTAAGCCCTGGTGCCCAGGTCTTTGCTGTGATCATGGTTGGAAAGTCAGTCTGTGCAAAGCCCTCCAGGAACTCGCGGCCCTGCCAGGCTGTAAAGCCCCCAAGAAACACAGGAAGAATGCGCAAGTCTAGCCCCAGGCCAACTCTGAGGGAGAACACACAGTTCAGGCACAGGATTGGTGGCTGGAGCTACAAATTCCTCTCATCTGAGTTTCAAAACTGTTCCCCATGGGTCCTGGAGGTGGGAACACAGGCTCAAAGCCACCCAGCTAGACAGTCATCCTCTGGGACAGAAATCCCTTTTAGGTTGCTCCTGCCAACATCCCATTTTGTCAAATGGGCAATGCTCCATTTGTCAAATGCTCCAAAATGGGAAATCCCAAGACCCCAGACTTCAAAAGGAAAAAGAAAAGAAAAGGTAGTGTTTGGGGAAAACCACACATAACGGAAGGAAAACCTTATGAAACCTGATCCCCACCCTGCAAATAGTCAGAATCCAGGTCTGCCTTTAAGGCAGGACAAGGGGTGCCATGCTTCCCATCTAGCTGTTCAGAGCACATACAAGTTTCCAACAGAAGCAATGTAAAAAAGAGGGCAGCCTGTTCACCTGGGACTGCGCAGAAGCAGGGTCACTTTGAAATTCATCCACAGATGTGCCAGTGGGGAGTGCTGTTGGGAGCTGCTGGGCACCCACGTCCCCCAGACCAGGACACCCTCCTTTCAGCCTCTTGCTCCTGCATGAAGCAGCGCTGGGCTAGGACTCGGGCTGTGCCTTCCATGTGGGATACTCTATTGTCAATCACCCAGTACTTGGCGAACTCTTCTGTGGGTACTCAGCTGTAGAGCCCAGACCTGGAAAAATCACTCTCAGGGCCGGGGCCAGCCCGGAGAGCTGACTGTGTCTAGCTCTGACCTCTGCTGCAGTCAGCATTTGCTCTCAGGCTCCAGCTTACCCCAGTGGATGGGTCAGTGTGGTTCCCTCCGTCAGGTTGGTGCTCTAGACCAGAGTGACAAACGCATGGCACACGAGCCACGGTTGGCTATTTGTTAGCATTGAAAGCTCTGAAAGGTTTGCCATCACTCTAGACCATCTTATTGCTTTTGGACCCCTAGGGCAGGCTTCCAGGGTGACAAGTGAGGTTCTGGTGCAGAGGAGATGTGGGGAAGTTAGAGGGCGGTGCAGGAAGCTCTGGGTTCCCAGGATGTGGTGAGGGCTCCACCTTGGGTAAAGACTGATGTGCCATGGGAGACAGGGAGTTGGGCCAGAGGGTAGGGCAGAAGGAAGTATTCAGGAGGTGCCAGGTTTCCCTTCGCTCCCTACCATGCTGGTGCTCCAGAGGAACAGAGTCAAGAGCTTGGAAGGTAGTGCGTGGTACCAGGAGGACAGGATCTTGTAGCCTAGCATAAGGTCTGCAGAGGCACCTGGACAGGCCCAAAAATAAGTACAAATGGGGTCAGATAGAACTCAGGGCCTGTCGGTATAGGTTCATGGCATCTTCCCTTAGAAAATGTATCACTGCTCTTAAATTTTATGTAAATGTTGCAGGATTTTCCCTGCCTAGTAAAAATTGCCCAGTTGCACCATTTCATCAATATTTTTAAATCTAAGAGGTTGAGAGCTGGATGAAGATGTCTTCAGGGTGAGAATTAAGAAAGAAAAGGGAAAGGCAGCACAAATAAGGCCAAAGAGAGGAGTTTGTGGGGCAGGGCATCAGAGACTGTTCATACTAGGATTTTAGGGCAGAAGTGGCCAGGTGGCATCCCCATCGGAAGGCTGTGCTTTCTTTCCTGGGAAGAGGTACCAGTTCACAGTTCCCAGCAATGCCAGTACACTTCAGAGGACACCAGGTGAACCTGCAGAGGAATTTGTGGAAGAACTGGCCAAACGGGCTTAGGAGAACTCAGGATGGTAAAAGAGTTTAGAAATATGTGACATGGGAATGAATCACCTTGGGCAGATGGGCCCATGGGACAGAGGGCTCTTTCAGTCACTATCTCATACTCACTGATTGGTCCCTGCACTCCACAGAAGAGAATCTGATGGAGAAATTACATTCAAGGGCTAGCATGGTATCTCAGGAGGGAGATACTGACACACAGAAAAGATATCAGTGATGCAGGGTGGGAGCCACAGTCAGGTACCAGGCAGGCGCTTATGCCGCTGA